CTGAGGGAAGAAAAGGGTAAGATTATTATACGGTGGATGTGGGGGCGAAGGGGAGGGGAGGGGGTGTTTAGGGTTGGAGGAGGGGATAAGGGATGGTTGGAGGGGGGGGAGAGATAGTGGGTGGGGTGTTTGTTTATTAGTTTAGGTTGATTTTGTTTGTTTGTTTGTTTGTTTGTAACCCCCTCTCCTACTTCCCCTTTTCTCCACCTCCACTTTCTTCCATGAAGCGGGCTATCGTTTCGCAATTGCAAAGTTTCTCTCTCTCGCTTGCAGATAAACAGGCAAGTAATCGGTCCATATACTTCTTCTATCCTTCGGAGTCATTGCAACAGGAGGCGGAGGAGAGGAAGGACAAGGAAGGGAAAGAATGATAAAGAAAGATGCAGATAAAGGTGAGGATAAGGATAAAGATGAAGATAAAAGATCGAGATAATGAAAGAAGGAGAGAGAAAGATACAGATACAGATGAAGATAATGATAAAGATGAAGATAAAAGAAAAATAAGATAAAGGTTAGGATAACAACAAAGAAGTAAAGATACTGATAAGGATGAAGAATAAGATGAATATAAAGATCGAGATAAAGACAATGTAAAAAATGGAGATAAGAATAATGAAAACGATAAAGACAAAGAGAAAGATAAAAACAAAAGATAAAATAAAAATAAAAACAAAGATTAATAAATAGATGAAGATAAAGATTATAAAGAAAAAGATAAAGAAACAGAAGAAAAGGATAAAGATCTAGGTAAAAAGAAAGACGAATAACAAGATAGGAAGAATACACAATAACAAAAGAATAGAAGAGAAGAAAGGATGAAAAAGGAAACACCGAAATAACAAGAGAAAAGAACAAGAGATAACACAAATGAAAGGGAGAAACAAGAAAGTCAAGAAAACGTAAAAAATCTCTCGGGAAAAATGCTTTTCAAAGACACAAGACTATTATTACAAAGGAAGAAGCTCAGTTAGTTAATGAGGGAATTAATAAAGGGGGGGGGGGAGGTTGTAGCTTGGGTACTCGTTAACGTGTAAATATGTCTTCATCGAATAAGGTCAAATATTAATTATCATAATTAATTATTGATTATTAATTATTATCATTACTATTATTATTAATAATCATTATTATTGATTATCATTAATTACTGATTTTATCAAATTAATAATGTCTAAAACTAAGGTTAATAGGGGGTTGTATCTTGGATAACCATTAACGTCTAATATGTATTTATCGAATAATGTCTAAATGAATGAAAGGAAATGAAGAGAAACAGATTAATAATTGGATGAATTAATAAAAAGGGGTATAAAGTGAAATGAATAAATCAGTCAGATAAAATGAATAGATAATACAAATGAAGAATAAATATATATGTGAATGAGTGGATAAAAAAATTCATGAATGTCTCTATGTATATATGAACACGTGAAGGTGGATAATAACTGTGTAGGAGGAGGAGCAAAAAAGAAGATAAAAAGAAGGATGAGGAGGAAGCGAAGAGGGAAGAGGAAGAGGAAGAGAAAGAGGGAGAGGAATAAGAGGATGAGCAGGAGGAGAAAGAAGACAAGGAAGTAAAAGAATGATAATGGTAATGAGGACAGGAATAATAATGATAGTAATGATAATGATAGTAATGGTGATGATAATAACAAGAACAGTGATAATATCAACTAAAATGAAAACAATAGGAATAACAGCAATAATAATAATAATAATAATAACAACAACAACAATAATAATAAAAATAATAACAATAATAATAATAATAATAATAATAATAATAATAATAATAATAATAATAATAATAATAATAATAATGATAATAATAATAATAATAATAATAATAATAACTGCAACAACACATCAATAGAAACAATAATGATAATAATAATGATATCAACAACAGCAAAACTAACAAAAACAACAATCATAACAAAAATAATGACAACAACAACAACAATAACGATAACAATGGCAAATTCCGTAAAGAAATATAACCGAACGAAATAAGAATTAACAAGACCACGAGCATAATGGCATCGCCGCCGCTTTCTTCACAAGTCGAAAATAATCGTTACAAGCGCGTGGAGTTTATGAGTTTAATGTTTCACGTTTAATCGTCCCATAAACCACAGGCATCCCGACCGGCGTGGGCGTACAATCCGGCGCCTCTTCACGCCAGCAAACCCCGCCCTCATGGATATTAGGTTTGTCGACGGCTTTCGATAAGTTATGGCAAGGAAAACCCGTATGGCCAAACTGGCTCGTTTTCCCTTGTCTGCAGTTGTTTTTTTCTTTTCTTGAAAGTGTTTAATTTCTTTTCTCCTGTTTTTCTGTTGCGTTTTGTCTCTTTATCTTTCGTTCCTTCTGTCTTTCTGTCTTTCTATCTTTATCTCTTTCTCTTTCGTTCCTTCTGTCTTTCTGTCTTTCTATCTTTATCTCTCTCTCTCTCTCTCTCTCTCTCTCTCTCTCTCTCTCTCTCTCTCTCTCTCTCTCTCTCTCTCTCTCTCTCTCTCTCTCTCTCTCACTCTCTCTCTCTCTTTCTCTCTCTGTCTGTCTGTCTTTCTCTTGCTATAGATAGAGATAGATAGATAGATAGATGTGTGTGTGTGTGTGTGTGTGTGTGTGTGTGTGTGTGTGTGTGTGTGTGTGTGTGTGTGTGTGTGTGTGTGTGTGTGTGTGAAAGAGAGAGAGAGAGAGAGAGAGAGAGAGAGAGAGAGAGAGAGAGAGAGAGAGAGAGAGAGAGAGAGAGAGAGAGAGAGAGAGAGAGAGAGAGTTTATACAAATCTTTTAAAATCTACCATAAGCAATATTAACTGTAATACATGAAATAAAAAGCAACAAGTTTAATTTCCGCTTGCTCTGTGCGCGGATGTAACCATTTCACGCAAACAGGAAGGAGTTCATATATATATATACAGTATACATATAAATGTATATACATACATACATATATATATATATATATATATATATATATATATATATATATATATATATATATATATATATATATATATGTGTGTGTGTGTGTGTGTGTGTGTGTGTGTGTGTGTGTGTGTGTGTGTGTGTGTGTGTGTGTGTGTGTGTGTGTGTGTGTGTGTGTGTGTATGTGTGTGCATCCCACTCTTTTCAACCCCCACCCCTCATCCTCGAAACTCCTCCTCCTTGTTTTATCTCTCGTTCCTCCTTCTCCTCCTCCTCCTCCACCTCATCTCCTCTCTTCTTATTCTTCATCATCATCTTCTTTTTTTTTTCTTTTTTTTTCCCTTAAAAGAAGAAAAGAGGAGAAGAAGAAGAAGAAGAAGAAGAAGGAGAAAAACGGCCATTTATAAGAGAGGTAATTTCTTTTGTCCCATTAAAAGGACTCGAACGAATGGGTTTCTTGGTGCCGCCGTGTCTTGGGACGTTTTCTTATAATCTATTTACGAAAGAAAGAAATATTCCTTGAAAATCTAAGTCGAAGTTAGAGGGCAACGCTATTGATAAAAAAAAAAAAAAAAGAAAGAAAGAAAAAAAAAAAACATGCGTAGACCTTTAATCGGGAATAAATGAATAAATGAAGGTGTGAAGGAAGGGAGGAAGGAAGGGAGGAAAGAAGGGAGGGAAGGAAGTGAGGAAGAGAGGAAGGAAAGGAAGGAGGGAAGGGATAAAGGAAGAAAGGAAAGGAAAGATAAATGGAAGCAAAAATTGAAGGAAAGGAAGGAAGGGAGGGAGGAGCGAAGGAAGGGAGGAAGGAATGAATGAAAGATGAAAGGAAAGGGAGGAAGGAAAGAAAGGAAGAAAGGAAAGAAAGAAAGATTTAATAATTGGTAATGAATAATAAAGTAGGTAGATCAATAGATTAGGTAGATAGATAAACCAACTGATAGATAAGCAGATACACAGGTTGAATGAAGGAATGAATGAAGGAAGGAATGAAGGAAGAAATGAAGGAAGGAATGAAGGAAGAAATGAAGGAAGGAATAAAGGAAGAAATGAAGGAAAAACGAATGATTGGCAACAAATAAAGAAGTAAGTAGAATCGATAGATAGTTCGGTAGATAGATCAATCAAATGAACCAATTGCCTGAATCAATAGAGAAATTAATATAGAATTATATCGATAATTATATGAATGAATAAACAAGCGAATGAGGGAGTAAAGAGATGACAGACAGATGAATAAACCAAAAGAAAAGAGAGATAATGAAAGCCACAGATGCTGCCGCGGTTGTTTACGTCTTCGCAAAGTTGGTTATTTACGGGAAACCATTTATTTCTTCTCCTTTTTTTTTTCTTTCTTTTGACTTTTTTTTTTTTTTTTTTTTTTTTTTTTTCCTACATGAGGGTTTTTTGTTCCTTTTTTCACGACATTCATCTTATGGTTAATGTTATATATATGTATATATATTTTTTTTCTTCAAATTACTGATTATGATCATCCCCCCCCAAAAAAAAAAGAAAAAAAAGAAAAAAAAAATCAAACATCTACGCAAAATTACAAAAATAAGCACAAACATGAAATGAATATTATTATCATTATTGTTTACCATCATTACTATTATTTTTTTTTATATTGTTATTATCATTATTATTACTATTTATTATCATTGTTGTTATTATTATCATTATTATCATTATTATTATCATTGTTATCAATTACCGTTATCATTATTATTATCATTAATATTATAACCATGACTATTTTCATTGTTATTATTGATAAATAAAAAATATAATTAGCTATAGGTGTACTATTATAATTATAATAATTATAATAATAATAATAATCCAAAATGTGTAATCCAAAGAACGAAAAAAAATAGAGGATGAGAAAACAAAGGCAAGAAGACAGAAAAAAGTATGAGAAATATAACAGACGAGAAGAAGAAACAGGCAGAGGAAATGAGTTTGGAAATGCATGATGTACAATGCAAACACAGCGATTCCCTCTCCTCGAAATAGTTCCATCTTGGTAGTGAAAAAGTGGCGGCTTGGCCGTAGAGTTTTTCGTC